CATACCATACCATACCATACCATACCATACCATACCATACCATACCACATCATTCCACATACACACTTTACCACATACCACAGTGGTGAAGGCTACACAGAAGACTGTTGGAGTCAGCCTCCCCACCATCACAGACAACTACACCTATATATGCAGGAAGAGGGCCACCTGCATCATGAAGGACCCCACTCACCCAGCACACATACTTTTTACCTCGCTCCCCTCAGGCAAGAAAGTTGTGGAGCATTAAGTGCAGAACCACTAGACTGAGGAACAGCTTTCTACCCTGAAGTTTTTAGACTTATAAATCCCTTACCAGGATAGTCACTGTAATTCCACTTTAATTGATTAAATGTGACATTATATGTGCTGCTGATTATCCACAATGCTGATTTCTTGCCTTTAAGCTGCTGTATTCATACCCATCTGTTACTAACAGACTCATGTTCAGGTTGCTGTTTTATATACCATACTATATTAAATTATTATTGTTTAGCATATATTCTAGATCCTTATATACTGTTTCTTTTTATACTTTGTATTTTTGCTGTTTTTGGGTGCAACTGGGACCTTGTGTACACAATTTCATTCCACCTCATGTACCTCATGTGATACGAATGATAATAAAGAACCTTAAACCTTGAACCACATCATACCGTACCGTGCCATGCCATGCTGTGCCATACCATACCATACCATACCATACCATACCATACCATACCATACCATACCATACCATACCATACCATACCATACCATATCCCACAACAACAGTCCATACCACTCCAAACCATACTTCCAACAACAAGGTTGGCCAAACTGCCATATAATAAAATAAACAAGCACAGTTTGGGTAAATGCCACAACTGCAGAAATGTGTTCTTTTTCGCCAGTAAAAAATTAAGCTGCAGCCTTTTGCATCTGTCACAAACAAGCAATAAAAGCTTCACTAATGCCAAAAAAGAGCTCAATGCAACAATCAAACAGAGATGTGTAAAATATTGTCTCTAGATACACTTTAGACAGGATGAAATCAATTTTAGACAGCCGCCTTAACTGAAAGAAACAAGATTTGACCATTATGTTTACATGACCGTTTAGTTTGAAGGAAGGATTTGTCTTCCAGGTTTGTGATAACGTTTCTCTCATAAGGGTAAAGGAAGGTCAATGCCTGCTGCTACCACTGTGTGTAAACAACATAAAGTCAGATGTTGTATGTGGCACTGAAACCCTCGGATGCTCTTCACATCCACCCGAGCTGGTTGTAAATGACATGATGGAGAAACAGCTGCTGACACGTTAAGATAATGTACGCGTTAAGGTGCGAGTGGTTACAGATTAATGAGCTGAGGTGTGTCCTGTGATGCACCGCATCACCATTTTATCCTTGTAACACAAAAAAGCTGTAGAATCACAAGCAATACAATCTAGCTTTAAGTGTTCCTGTAAAAAATAAAATCAAAGGTTTGAGTACTGCTGATTGTTTAGTGACCTGTGACTAATATTTCATCACACAGACTGAATAATTACAGCTGATTCATTCTCGCACAGAACGTTTCCATCCATGTTTTGGAGTAGCTGAACCATTTACTGCAGCAACGGTTCATTGAGCAGAAGCTTCTGGGAAAGTTCCAGCTGAGAGATGTATGGTGATAATGGGCTATATGCATTAGACGGGTTATGGTTTTGTTTGGAGAAAAGCATTTATTGACTGTGTTGTGAGAGGTTGTTATGGAGAAAACACTTTAATCTTTCACCTGCATACAGATTTATATATTTATATTGACATCTGCACTGCAGTGATAGCTTGAAATTAAAGTAGACCATCAACATTTTAAGTTATAAAAGCTACAGGGATGTGGAGTCATGCTATCATGAGAAAATGTTTAAATGCTTTTATCTGGGGCTTTGTAGGGAGTTATTTGACATTAAGTAATCAGTAGTTTATTATTATTTTGATCTAAATGTTATTAAAATGGTTTGTACAGCATGACTAATGTTATGTTATTAAATCATATCTACTATTTTAAACACAAACTTGATATTTTCTTTCATTTAGCTCGTATATAGATGTTTTTAGCAAGTAAGGATGACAAACTTTTATATAATTTGTAAGGTGTTTGCAACAGATATCACTGGAAACACAGAAGGTTTGTCAAGCTAGTAGCAGCTAACATTTAAAGTGGTGACACGTTTTTTGCACTGAGGCGTGCTAAGACAGATAAAACTGTACATGCATGGTTAAGAAATACATTAACTCTTTTTTCAGATGGATTTTATTTATCATAAATAGACTGTTTTTTTTAGTCCTTAAGCTCAGTGATACTGGGTCAGAGAGTTGTATTTGTAGCATAGATATTAAAGAAGTTAAGTCTGACCTCTGTATGAAGATTTTTGTTCTAAGTCCTTTCTGTCTCTTGTTTGTGTTGCAGAGTTTTGCAGAGAACACCATGAATGAGTTGCTGGGTTGGTACGGCTACGACAAGGTGGAGCTGAGGGACTCTGACAACCTGGATATTGGAGAAATGCCACAACACATCTCCGTCCTCAAAGGTAGGTTAGTCAAACAAACGGTGAACTGAATTATCCCAGGCCTGCTTATTAATAACAATATTACTGCGTTCTGCAGAAAAGCAAATTAAACTAGTGTAAGCTTGACACAATATGACTGTTGTGATCTGCTGACATGCATGACATACGTATACACAGGGTATACACAGGGTCCTAAATAAAGTCCCAGACAGAAATACTTGTTTCTTTCAGATGAAAGAATTATAACATCCAACCCTGTCCATTATACTAGTTGAAATCCAAACCATGTATTTGCTCTTCCTAACCCTAACCATATGGATGTTACAGATTACAGCAAGGAGTGAAGAATAGAGACTGAAGCAAAGCAGAAAAGTCAAAAGACTGTGGAAAATGTCATCTGGGTTCTGGGTCTGCTTCATGCTTGTTGTGAAACTAAAACATTGTGTACTTTTAAATCAAATCATTATATGTTCAGTACAGTAAATGGGTTTGATTGCTTCAAGGTGTTCATTATTGTATCTCACTGACGTCTACTTCATTGGACATTTCTGCAGGACGGTGACTTTAATCATGCATCCCACAGCACAAACAGGACAATACAGAATGTTTTGATTTTCCCCAAACTTATGATTCATATACCATAAAAATCTATTATTCTAAAGAGATAAAGTCTGCCTTTGCAAACAAACAGACAAACAAAAATAAAGATGATAATCCTTTTTGCGTTTTAAATGTGGTGACTATATTTTTATTTCTGAAGTTACAGTCTGAACTGTGCCAGTATAATTGGCGACTTTTTGTGTTGAGACAGTGGAGCTGAGAGGAAAAAGTAAGTTAAACTTAAGTTAGCATGTTAGCAGACTGTATAGCACATTAGCAAACATAGCATTTAGTTAATGTTACTCGATGATGTGAATAACAGGGATTAACATTAATTTAATAATTTTGGTAAACACTTGACAAACCTATGTCCGTATAAACTTGAAAAAAAAGTCAACCCATAAAAGAAAGAAGGAGATTTTAAAGTAGGACATGTGTTAGCAGCTAATGCTAACTTGCTCTTTCAGTTGTTGGTTGTGTCTAGCAGGTTTGTTTGAGTTTTTCTATTAAAAAAATAGCTGTTTATTAACAAGACAACAAATGTTAAATAAAAAAGTTTAAACTTATTACAGTATCAGTAGGATAGTAAAGATTATGTTTATATTTGTGAAAAAAATTACTGGTAAAACTTTAGCTTAATCTGGCGGCTCTCGATCAATTCAATTTCCTGTTATGTAATTGTTGCCATTTATCATAAATTTGTTTGATGTTGGGCACCCCATATGTCTAAAAACATTAGCTGTTTCTTTTAACATCAACAAAATCTTATTTCTATCACTACTCGCATTAAGAGCAACTCGTTTCTGTATTTTATTTGTATTTTTCTGTTTAGAAAACTCGTTGCCAAAAATCCCAGCCTCAGTGGAGAACAGTGAAGGCTCTCCAGATCGGGCCAACAGCTCCCTGTCTTTGCCAGCATCCAGAAATGGAGTCATAGAACCCTCCATGGTACCGTCCACTTCCGCACCCAATGCAAAAGAGCACGGCAACATGCCCATCATGGTCCCCATGGTCCCCCCTCCTCTGATCAAGGCCCCTGCAGGTACATCAGTGGCTTTATGGAGTCAACAAAACCAAAGATTTTATGGTAAATATAAGGAAAAAAGGAAATGTTAAGGGTTTTATTTGCAGCTGATCTCCAAACACTGAAGATAAAAGACAACTTTCTGATTTGCAATCACTTAGAGCCAAAATCTAAATATTTATGCAGAGCATTTAATGAGGTATACCTGCTGTCCACCTTATTCTCCTCCACCTGCCCAAGTGTCAACGCTACCTCGTCGACTCTCTGAGGAAACGTCCGCGCTCGGACAGAGGACTTCATTATCCCTCGTGTCTGCTGTGGACAGGAGGCTGCTACTCCCCGATGGAAGGAGCAAGCCTTCTTGGCATCGCCCAAGAGGAGTCCTTACTGGCTCTTCCAAGGCGGGGAAACAGATGGTGCGGTCCCAGCACCAACTAACCACCCGGCCGACACCGCCTTCAACTCTTCTCCCCACACCCCCCACTCTCTGCCATCCCCACATTTACACATACACACTGAATTATTCATGTCCACAAAGGACTCTTTGAGATGCAGGTATGGCAAATGATGATGGCATCCAGGATGGAGGCAGCATAACTGCAGGCATAAATTTCTCCCTTATGCAGACGAACTGTAAATAAACTGAAACGAGTTTCTTCCTTCAGTCTTGTTATACGGTGTATCTAAATTCACTTGAATGGTCAACATAAAATAATCTGTTTCATGTTTTTTTTTTTTTTTTCCAAGTCTTATTGCTTCAGTGAGCTTCAAACAGAGAAAGACAGAAATAAATGTTCAGTTTGCTGTTTTTAGGACCCGAGAGAGTTCCCCCCTTAATTGTGAGTTAGTCTTTCCTTAGAATCCGATGGCCCTGTGGATCCATTAAGCTCCGGAGGAGGTGAAAATCCCTTCCTGCAGTGATAAAGGGGTGAATGGAGGTGAAAAACTAATGGGCCTGCGTCTTGTCCCCCCATCAACACACAGCCCTAATGTGATAATTGGGTGATACTAGAGGGAATATTGGAGATTTCAGCAACGACTGCACTAAAAGCCCAAAGCTCATCATCAGCGGTCACAATTTACCACCAGAGAAGCATTTCACAGTCGCAGAGGGGCTGTTAAAATAATCCGTCAACCAGAATGACCATGCAGCCGAACCACACCAACGTTTCATCTGGATTAACTGTTAAACAAACTATAATTGAAGGAAAAACTGATGGTCAGGTGCAGATTTACTCAGACTTGTGCTCTTCTTTATGTAATTTGTGTTTTTAATTTGACCTGGAGATGAATATTTTTTTAATATCCACACAGAGATAGTACATTTTAGTGAAGCTGCAACAACTACAAGATAAATACATGCACTTTTACTAAAATTTACTAGAAAAAATACTTTATATCTATAAATAATTTGTGTGGTGTAAAATTTGGCATAAACAATCCAATCGATCACCGTCTTTCAATATTTTGTTTATTTTTTGTTCTTTTAATCTCCTTTTAGATGAAGACGCATCAAGTGTGCAGATCATGTGCGCCTGGTGCCAGAAGGTTGGTGTCAAACGTTATTCTCTGAGCATGGGGAGCGAGCTGAAGAGCTTCTGCAGTGAGAAGTGCTTTGCCGCCTGCCGCAGAGCTTATTTCAAGAGAAACAAGGTAGGAATCCCTTTCTTCTCATCAGCTGGACACTTTGATGTATTTTTGAGACTCTGCAGGGAGGCTGAGCCACAAATCTTTATCTCAGTGTTATCAGTGACACTGATGCATAAAAAAACTGACCCAAATATGAGTTTAGTTACTTAATGCAATACATGTTTGGGGATTGAGAAGAATGGAGTCAATATGTTTTGTGTTAGGCAGCTCCAGCCAACTGATGATAGTAGAAATAAAATATGAACACAGTGGACAGACAGCCCATTGCTCTTTAAAGTTCAACACTCCTCACTTTGGCTTATCTGAGAACCGATTGTGACTAATGACCTAAACACAGATTGAAAGGGAGAATAAGCTCTGTTTGGCTAAATGAGAGAAAACAATACAAAACTATTATCAGATACTTTGAACTAAAAGTCAAAACTGTACTCTTACACTTGTATTTCCAAATGTGATTAAATGTCAGTTATTAGCTGCTCATGGGAATTTTGTGTTTACTTTTTACTGGCATCATTTCCATGATAGCATGTAATTAGCACTGCACGTGCCACATAATTTGGTTAAAAACACAAAATAAAGAGTAATGTACTTCTCTCCTGATGTTAAATTCTTTATAAATGGCCTATTTTTAACATCTCATAAGATTTCGGTAACTTTAACGTTATTTATGGTCATGTTTAGTTCTTTGTAACCATTCAAAAATTGGGAATGATGAGCTAAAGAATAATGACACCAATTAGTCCCTCCTCCAAGACTTGTTTCTTCTTTCCACTGGAATAAAAAAAAAAACCAGAATATACA